CAAATGGGGAGGGGGCTGCGAAGGGACTGTCACCTGACCCAAGGAGGAACTCTCACCTGACCCCAGCAGGGATCAAGGAATGTGCACTCAAAGTTCCTCATCCAACTCCAGGAACAGAGGAAAGTTATGATTCTTTGCAGATAAACACCTCAAATGTGGGCAAAAAAATATAACTCGGAGTAGCAATTCCCACAGAAGCCTTTGGAAATTAAGCTACTAGAGGCGGGAGGGGGCAGTACACAGTTGGAGGAAAGTGAGATGTGGCCAGCAGGAGCCTGGGTTTGCTGAGGGTGAGTTTGAGGGCATAAAACTGGTGTGTGAAGCTGGGAGAGGTACACAGGTACACAGCTCATCTATACGTTTGGAAAACAAGAGAGATGTGTCTTGCTCATCCCCCCACGAGTGTGTCAAGAAGCAGCAGTAGTGTGTTGAAGCCAATGACGTCCTGAGTGAATGTCTTCGTTGGCATGAGCATGACCGTGTCAAAGACCCCAATGTCTCAAACCCACGGAAATGGCAAGGCCTTCCCCCAGTCTGAGTACAGATGTACACATCAAGGTGGTGGTGACACATGGTGTCCAGAAGCTGACCAAGATGAGAGCTGAGATCCCATGCGGTGGTGTTTGCCTGGAACCACAGCTTCAGAGGTGGAGACAAGAGGGTCAGAGTTCAGGGGCAGACCTCTCAAAGTAAGAAAAACAAAATAAGAATTGAGGGCCTGCTTCTGTATCTGACAACAGGGAAGTCAGAATTTCCCAGAGATGTTTTAGTGAGGTGCAGTGTGTGAGAGGTGAACAAGAGAGAACCACAGGAAGGGCTTACAAACTCTTCGCAGCAGTTAGCTGGGTGTGGAGGCAGAAGGGTGAATGGGATGGCCAGGTAGGCTGCCTCACAAGCCGAGACGGTGCTGGTGGATGCTCCAGACCACGTGGCACTGCTCCTGTTACCATTGTTGGTCCTGTCTGTCTGGTCTGGGTGAAGCACTTGCTGATAGAGGACTAAAGGATAATTAAAGAAAGGGGTGTGGACCCTGCCTGGGCCCTGAGCTGAAGGATAATCTCAAACATGAAGTACATGACCAAGTTGTTTCCTCATTAAGACGGGGTAACCCATGTGCTGAGCCCAAGATGTCCAAAAATATTTGCAAAGAACTCTCACACAGCACCCGACACAATAGAAACAATTCCACGGGGGTGGGGTGGGGTGAGAGGGAGGTAGGGGGAGCAGGACGAGGAAAGGGGAGGGGAGGGAAGAAGAATTGGGATTGATATGTAAAATTTAAAAAATACAATGAAAAAAAGAGGGGAAAAAAGAAGCAATTCCACATTACAGAACTCTACATTGGCCTCATCCTGGTTTTCCAGAAGTTTCTATATTGGGGTAGATGGGTTTTACAATTTTTGGTTGGTTAGTGGGTTGGTCAGTTGGCCAGTTGGTTTTTCAAGACAGGGTTTCGCTGTGTAGCCCCAGCTGTCCTGGAACTCACTCTATAGTAGACCAGGTTGGCTTTGAACTCAGAGATCTGCCTGCTTCTGCACCCTGAGTGCTAGGATTAAAGGCGTGCGCCATCACTGCCCAGCTGACTTTTACACTTTCAATACATGCTAACAACATACTGACAGCAGACCGCCTCTTTCGAGCTCACAAAAGGTCAGATGTTTTCAGTGGCAATAGGACCAAGGTAAATGTACGTAATTAAGCTTGGGAGACTCATCCAGAAGTCATGAGTGATGTCAGGGTCCCAGCTGAGATGCAACTGCGCATGCTTGACCTGTGTTAGGAAAGCATGTAGAAGAGCAGGTCAGCAAGATGAGGAAGCTTGCTTGGGATGGAGACAGCCTGTGGGAGTGTCGCAGGCATAAGGAACAACTCAGCAAACCAGGGAAGATATGGGCATGGCACTCATTGGTCTCTGGTGCCTAGGGAAGCTGCAGAACTGGGGTAGGGGTACCAAGGATTTGTACACAGTACTGTTCCCAAGGAGTAAAGAAGCCATTAGACTCCCATGCACTGCAAGGTGTCCTTGTCCTAGTCAGACAGTGGACCACCTGAGACTCCTAGTGCAGTCTCAAGGTTGTTCATGGCCCTTAAGAAGGAGGAAAACAATATGCCAACTGCAGTGGATGGGAAGCTGCAGAGGATTGTGGGATTCCAGTTTGGATGCACAACAATGCCTGGGTAGGAAGAGCAGCTGAGGTTGGTACATGGTTGATTGTCTTCCTTTCTTGCTGTGTGGCCTAAAGTGACTCATTTTTGTCCCTGAGCCTGTGGCTGTTCAGGAAACTTAACCCAGTTGGGGGGTGGTAAGGTTGGCACTATTTCTGAACCTCCAATTTCCCATGGCACAAGGAAAATAATAGATTGCAGCTGACTGAATTAGACCCTCTTAATCAGTCATGGGAGAGGACAGTGGACCGGTCCCTGGTGTTACGAGAGGAAAAAACAATGAACCTTCATACCAGTCCATCAATGATCAACACATGCCTACCTACCAAAGCCACCCTCAGCTGGGCACAGTAGTGAAAGAGGTGACAGCCAGTTCCCAGCTGTAAGCAGTCTGCCATGCCAGGATGGAGCGGCACCAGGGAAGACACATCCTAGGATCAATGTCTTGGGGACAGCTTTGGTCAGTCACTGTTATGGCAGTGCATGGCCCTAATAACCTCATGAGCTAGACAGCAAATGGTATTACCGCATTTTTCAGCTGAGGACAAAGACAAGCTGGGAACTTGCCTAATGTCAAGGCTTTTCAGTAGCCAGTGCCCTCCAGAAGTGAAAGCATTTTATTTTAAACTGTGACTTGTGTCCACCCAGGCAGTTCTTGTTAGCTCTGATAAGAGGCTGGACTGGGAACCCTGAGCTTTCTGGTCCTCTCTGCATGCCTGAAAGTCACTGTGATGTAGGGCCACCAAGAATGGTAGGTTTCCGAGGATGGAGAAGCTATGCCAGGCTAGGGAACTTCTCTTCAGAGCAGGACTTAAACTCCAGATGGAGCATTGGTGCAGGGAGGCTGTTGGGGAAGCGGAGGATATTTAGGCAGAACAGACCCAAATCCTCAAATAACAAAGGAAAAAGTAACTGGGAGAGCTTCAGGGGAGGATGTAAGAAACACGGAGGCTTACGCTCGGCAATGGTGGCACACGCCTTTAATTCCAGCACTTAGGAGGCAGAGGCAGGTGGATCTCTGAGCTTGAGGCCAGCCTGGTCTACAGAGCAAGTTCCAGAATAACCAGGGCTACATAGGAAAACCCTGTTTCACAAAGAAAACAACAAAGAAGAACCATGGAGGTTCTGGGTCCATAGGGTGGAGCTTGAGGGAATGCCCAGAATGGAGACACGATCAGGCAGGCATCCTGCTGCCCTCAGGCTTCACATCTGGGACACATTAGCTCTGCAGACAGTGACCATCTTCCCGGCTACCCCAGCTCTTACATGTCTGAAGACAGGGATCACAGCTAGTGCTATGTGCACCCCTGAGGCTCCAGGACTCAGGTATCTGACCAGTGTTCCCAAGGTCAGAATGAGTCCTGGTTCTTCCTCACAGAGGCCAAGGCCCAGCTTTAGGAGGAAGGGCTATGTCTGACCTTTTCAATAGGCAGTCCCTCTGCCGCCCCTTAGCATCCTCTCAGTTTGGCAAAACACTGTCCCTTTAGGGATGAAGACACTGAGGCTACACGGTCATCTCATTTGGTGGGAGCTTCTTATGCCTCCCTCCAAAAAACCAAAAAGGTAAGGACACGAGAAGAGGCCATAGAAATCAGCACCACACACATTCCAGTTATCTGCCTACCCTGGAAGGCCTTCTTGGGGTTAACAGGGTCTCACTGTCCCCCAGGAGTCTTTTGCTTTTATCTTCTGCCCTCTGGTAACCACCCTCTCTTTCTTTTGATCCTATTGTTTTGTTATGCATGGCGGAAGAATTTGAAGTCAGAACCATCTCTGTCACCACTCTGGATGGACCCCATTGGCATTTTGGGATTGGCAGGCTACCCCAAGAAGCAGGTCTTGTGTACACTGGAAGTCAGAGGGACCCAGTGTGTGACACTGTCTACCAAACAGCACTCACCCCTTGCCCAGCTTCCCCCAGGTCCTCCTAGTTTGGAGCTGGAGCTGCAGGCCATACCAGGGCCCACGCCCTGATCGGGCATACAGGCTTGCCATTGTCTGACAGTGCCAGGCACCCACGTGAA